GCTGACACCCCTGTAACAGAGGGATCATAACGGTGCCCATGGCCTGGTTAAGTCTCTCTCACACCAACAGAACGGTGCCCATGGCCTAGTTAAGTGTCTCTCACACCAACAGAATGGTGCCCATAACTTGGTTAAGTGTCTCGTACACCAACAGAATGGTGTCTATGGCCTGGGTAAGCGTCTCTCACACCAACAGAACGGTGTCCATAACTTGGTTAAGTGCCTCGTACACCAACAGAATGGTGTACGAGACACTTAACCAAGGTATGGACACCGTTCTGTTAGTGTGCGAGACACTTACCAAGGCCATAGACACCATTCTGTTGGTGTCTATGGCCTGGGAAAGTGTCTCTCACACTAACAGAACGGTGCCCATAACTTGGTTAAGTGTCTCGTACCCCAACAGAATGGTGTCTATGGCCTGGTCAAGTGTCTCTTCCACACCAACAGAACTATGTCCATGGCCTGGTGAAGTGTCTCATACACCAACAGAATGGTGTCTATGGCCTGGGTAAGCGTCTCTCACACCAACAGAACGGTGTCCATAACTTGGTTAAGTGCCTCGTACACCAACAGAATGGTGTCTATGGCCTGGGTAAGAGTCTCTCACACTAACAGAACGGGGTCCATAACTTGGTTAAGTGTCTCGTACACCAACAGAATGGTGTCTATGGCCTGGGTAAGTGTCTCTCACACTAACAGAACGGTGTCCATAACTTGGTTAAGTGTCTCGTACACCAACAGAATGGTGTCTATGGCCTGGTGAAGTGTCTTTTACACCAACAGAAAGGTGTCTATGGGCTGGTTAACTCTTTCCATACCGTTGACGTGTACACACGACAACAATATGTTATCCTGGTCCCCGTTGTCGTGTACAGACGACAAAATAAAGGGCCGTCTCATCCCCGTTGTTGTGTACACACGACAAGAGACTTTGATGTAACCTGCCTGATGTTTAGTTGGTTATCGCACGAGACTGTGGCGAAAAAACAATTAATTGTCGCTAAAATCAGAACCCATCAGTTTGGAAGAAATAGTTTTAGTTGTGCAGAGTACACTTTTTTATTATGAAACTTAAAGTTTTTCGCATTTGCCGCAAGATGTTTGCGTATGGTGCCTTAAATGTAAACAAGATGGCGGCAACTTAATTCGATACGAACACTCGTAAATTCATCATCAGATATTTGTTGAGACTTATGGAAGCAAATTTGAATATTCTAAAATAAGTCTTGATGAAATCTACTTGTATTTAGAAAAAAAAATCATATTCGTAACCATAATCAAACCCCATTGGAAACCTGCACTACAACGCTGTGTTAAAAACAAGGAATCGTATCGTTTATTGCCAGACAAATGTCGATTTCTCAGTCATAATCAGCTGCCAGTTAGTCATTATGCTGCGAAAATTAAGAAGTGTTTGTCTATGAACCAGAACATGAAACAATAACAATATTTGTTCACGGTTACCTGTTTAATTCTTGCGGCAGTTACACCTAGTCTAAAAAGTACATTAAAAATCCGCCATTTTGTTATATGCGCGGGGGCGAGTCTAATAAGTACATCCCGTAAGGAATCCGGACCGGAGTTGCGGTACGGAAAGAGTTAAGTGTCTCTCACACCAACAGAATGGTGCCCATGGCCTGGTGAAGTGTTTTTTACACCAACAGAAAGGTGTATATGGGCTTGTTAAGTGTCTCACACTAACAGAAAGGTGTCCATGGCCTGGTGAAGGGTCTCGTACACCAACAGAATGGTGTCTATGGGCTGGTTAAGTGTCTCTCACACTAACAGAATGGTGCCCATGGCCTGGTGAAGTGTCTCTTACACCAACAGAATGGTGTCTATGGTCTGGTTAAGTGTCTCTTACACCAACAGAAAGGTGTCTATGGGCTGGTTAAGTGTCTCTCACACTAACAGAATGGTGCCCATGGCCTGGTGAAGTGTCTCTTACACCAACAGAAAGGTGTCTATGGGCTGGTTAAGGGTCTCCTACACCAACAGAATGGTGTATATGGGCTGGTTAAGTGTCTCTGACACCAACAGAGAGGTGTCCATGGCCTGGTGAAGTGTCTCTTACACCAACAGAAAGGTGTCTATGGCCTGGTGAAGTGTCTCTCACACCAACAGAATGGTGCCCATGGCCTGGTGAAGTGTCTCTCACACCAACAGAATGATGTCTATGGCCTGGTTAAGTGTCTCTCACACTAACAGAATGGTGCCCATGGCCTGGTTTAGTGTCTCTCACACCAACAGAATGGTGTCTATGGCCTGGTCAAGTGGCTCTTCCACACCAACAGAACGGTGCCCATGGCCTGGTGAAGTGTATGAAAAAGGAATGAAAACGCAAAATCTGTCAACTGAAATGCTGACACCCCTGTAACAGAGAGATCATAACGGTGCCCATGGCCTGGTTAAGTGACTCTTACACCAACAGAAAGGTGTCTATGGGCTGGTTAAGTGTCTCACACTAACAGAATGGTGTATATGGCCTGGTTTGGTGTCTCTTACACCAACAGAATGGTGCCCATGGCCTGGTGAAGTGTCTCGTACACCAACAGAACGGTGTCCATGGCCTGGTTAAGTGTCTCTTACAACAACAGAATGGTGTCTATGGCCTGGTCAAGTGTCTCTCACACCAACAGAATGGTGCCCATGGCCTGGTGAAGTGTCTCTCACACTAACAGAATGGTGCCCATGGCCTGGTGAAGTGTCTCGTACACCAACAGGACGATGTCCATGGCCTGGTTAAGTGTCTCATACACCAACAGAATGGTGTCTATGGCCTGGTCAAGTGTCTCTTCCACACCAACAGAACTATGTCCATGGCCTGGTGAAGTGTCTCATACACCAACAGAATGGTGTCTATGGCCTGGTCAAGTGTCTCTTCCACACCAACAGAACGGTGCCCATGGCCTGGTGAAGTGTCTCTTACACCAACAGAATGGTGTCTATGGCCTGGTGAAGTGTCTCTCACACCAACAGAATGATGTCTATGGCCTGGTTTGGTGTCTCTCACACCAACAGAATGGTGTCTATGGCCTGGTTTGGTGTATCTCACACCAACAGAATGGTGCCCACGGCCTGGTGAAGTGTCTCTTACACCAACAGAATGGTGTCTATGGGCTTGTTAAGCGTCTCTCACACCAACAGAATAGTGTCTATGGGCTGGTTAAGTGTCTCTCACACCAACAGAAAGGTGTCCATGGCCTGGTGAAGGGTCTCGTACACCAACAGAACGGTGTCCATGGCCTGGTTTAGTGTCTCTCACACCAACAGAATGGTGCCCATGGCCTGGTGAAGTGTCTCGTACACCAACAGAATGGTGCCCATGGCCTGGTTAAGTGTCTCTAACACCAACAGAATGGTGTCTATGGCCTGGTTAAGTGTCTCTCACACCAAGGCCGTTTTCGTTTAAACGGTCAAACTGATCGGACCACTGTTGTTCGTTTATTAAATAAGGTCGAACCTAGTATTCTGATGCTGCTTTCAGGCGAGCCTTGACAAAGCCTTGCAAGGCCTGCATACACATTTGCAGGTCCGCCAGGATTTATACCCGAAATGGTTACATTTATAAACGGTCAAACCGGTTGTTCCGCATAAACGAACAGGTCCCAACTGATTGGTGCCCATGGCCTGGTGAAGTGTCTATCACACCAACAGAATGGTGTCTTTGGCCTGATTAAATGTCCCTCACACAAACTTGTTGTTTATGACAAATGTCACTTGCCGACTACATGGTTATTCTCCACATTTAGAATTACCCTCCCATGGGAGTTGTAGAATGAATAAAGTTTATATATATATTTTAAATGTTAACATTCTGGTTGAGATGAACAGGTAGATTTCACAGTTATAAATCTTAATGAGAAGAAGGTACTCACAAATACACAGTACTCTATAAAATCATTACATTGTTAACAGGAAGGAAACCTGAATTATGCCCTGACATTGACAGAGGAACTACTGACTCTAGGTAAGTAACTCCTGCTATATCCTATATATCAGTTAGAGATTTCAAAGCTATTGATAGAATACACTATCAGCACTATTACTGAGAATATTGATAGATTACACTATCACCACTATAACTGAGATTATTGATAGATTACACTATCAGCCCTATATCTGAGACCATAGATAGATTACACTATCAGCACTATAACTGAGGCCATTTATAGAAAACACTATCAGCACTATTACTGAGGCTATTGATAGAATACACTGTAAGCACTATTACTGAGACTATTGATAGAATACACTATTAGCACTATTACTGAGACTATTGATAANCTATCAGCACTATTACTGAGACTATTGATAGAATACACTATCAGCACTATTACTGAGACTATTAATATTGATTGAAAACACTATCAGCACTATTACTGAGACTTTTGATAGAATACACTATCAGCACTATTACTGAGACTATTGATAGAATACACTATCACCACAATTACTGAGGCTATTGATAGAATACACTATCAGCACTATAACTGAGACTATTGATGGAATACACTATCAGCACTATTACTGAGGCTATTGGTAAAATACACTATCAGCACTATTACTGAGACTATTAATATTGATAGAATACACTATCAGCACTATAACTGAGACCATTAATAGAATACACTATCAGCACTATTAATGAGACTATTAATATTGATAGAATAGACTATCAGCACTATTACTGAGACTATTGAAAGAATACACTATCAGCACTATAACTGAGACCATTAATAGAATACACTATCAGCACTATTACGGAGACTATTAATATTGATAGAATACACTATCAACACTATTACTGAGACTATTGATAGAATACACTATCAGCACTATAACTGAGACCATTGATAGAATACACTATCAGCACTATTACTGAGACTATTAATATTGATAGAATACACTATCAGCACTATTACTGAGACTATTGATAGAATACACTATCAGCACTATGACTGAGACTATTAATATTGATAGAATACACTACCAGCACTATTACTGAGGCTATTGATAGAATACACTATCAGCACTATAACTGAGACCATTGATAGAATACACCTTCGGCACTATTACTGAGACTATTAATATTGATAGAATACACTATCAGCACTATGACTGAGACTATTGATAGAATACACTATCAGCACTATTACTGAGACTATTGATAGAATACACTATCAGCACTATTACTGAGACTATTAATATTGATAGAATACACTATCAGCACTATGACTGAGACTATTAATATTGATAGGATACACTACCAGCACTATTACTGAGGCTATTGATAGAATACACTATCAGCACTATAACTGAGACCATTGATAGAATACACCTTCGGCACTATTAATGAGACTATTAATATTGATAGAATACACTATCAGCACTATTACTGAGGCTATTGATAGAATACACTATCAGCACTATAACTGAGACCATTGATAGAATACACTATCAGCACTATTACTGAGACTATTAATATTGATAGAATACACAATCAGCACTATGACTGAGACTATTGATAGAATACGCTATCAGCACTATTACTGAGACTATTGATGGAATACACCTTATTTTACTGGAAGCATCCCTAGGTAGTGGGGATTCAAACTTGTACAAATGGTGGGGCTGACTCCCCAGGGGGCTGAGGGCGTGGCCAATAAGGGTAATTTGGCTATATTGCTATAAATTACTTCATCTGTAGAACTATGCACTGGATATCAATTATATTTGATTTGAAGCATTCATGGGAGGGGAGGCAGGGATTCAAATTGTACAAGTAGTGGGGCTGACCCCCTTGGCAAAAGGTTGGGGCCGAAAATAGTTTATTACCCTATAACCATGTATACAATTGCTGAGAATGAAGAGAAGAATGCATATATGTTTCCAGGATTGCTCAGGGGTCTGGCCCCACCCTTGGAGACATAATCCCTGGGTTATAACTTTGAAACGGTTGAGATTCTCCCCCCCCCCCCCCCAAAAAAAAACCCCCGTATATACAAATGCTGGGCATAAAGAGACGAATGCAGTCATAATATTAGAATTGATTCCAGAGTCTGCTCCACCCGTGGAGACTTAACCCCTGGGTCATAACTTTGAAACGGTTAAGATCCCCACCCCAAAACTATATATACAATTGTTGGGCATAAAGAGACGAATGCAGTCATGATATTAGAATTGACCAACCGGGGTCTGTCCCACCCTCGCAGACTTAACCCCTCGGTCATAACTTTGAAACAGTTAAGATCCCCACCCCAAAACTATATATACAATTGTTGGGCATAAAGAGACGAATGCAGTCATGATAATAGAATTGACCAACCGGGGTCTGTCCCACCCTCGCAGACTTAACCTCTGGGTCATAACTTTGAAACAGCTGAGATCCCCACCCCAAAACTGTATTTACAAATGTTGGGCATAAAGAGACGAATGCAGTCATGATATTATAATTGATCCTGGGGACTGGCCACAACCCTAGGGACCTAGTTTATGAGTCACACCTTGGAAACAGTTGAGATCCCCACCCCACAACCATACATAAAATTGCTGGGCATGACAATCTAATACAGATAGGATACAATGATTGGCCTTGGGGTTTGGCCCATTCCTTTGGATCTTATTTGGAGAATATTTTGCCATGATTACTTTGATATCCAGGTGAGCAATACAGGCCCTCTGGGCCTCTTGTTCTCTCTCAAGATCTTTTATCCTTGTACAGTACTTCATTGAATAATTTGAGGAGATTTACTGACATTGTAATAAAATAAATGGTACAGGTAATTGTCACATAACATGTATATGAACTGTATAAGTTTACATGCTGTTGTTATTTTCTAGTTGTTTTAATCTAGACTGGTCAATGCTACCTTTGTTTAGCCCCTGATAACACCCGTGCCCAGAACAACAAACGCTACTACAAAAAGATGCTAAATGACCGTGCCATTGAATCACATCAACTTGCGAGTCAGCGGGGCGAGATTGGGGTGGAGGATACAGAGGAGGAAATCAAACATGAGCGCAAACTTGACGACTACCGTAACTCAGAGGAGTTTGCCACTTACGAAAAACTCTGCCGGGGAGAAGATACTCAGGTTAGTGTAAACTGGGCAAGTATCCTGTTTTCTGTCCAAAAGTGACCTTCATGAAAAATAGACTTTCACAGGGATATCTTGTAATCACTCTGAAGGCCGGACATCATTTACATCAAACTTGACAAATCTGTGTTGAACACTATTTCACATCCGTATGGTCATTATTGGTGAAGGTCTTCGATGTTAAAGAACATGAAATATTTGTATGATTTTTTCAGAGGAATTTACATATAGAATTTTTTAAACCAATGTCAAAAACATAAATCAATGTTGATCAAATTAAAATCATACCAAAAATTCCTTTTGATTACTCCATAGGTAAAACAGGAAGGAAGGTAAATTGTAAGCCTTGCTCACAAGATAACAAGTGTATATGGTGGTAACATGTTATAGTGTGGTGATTACAGGTATATAAGGAGGTAACATGTTATAGTGTGATGATTACAGTTATATAAGGAGGTAGCGTGTTATAGTGTGGTGATTACAGGTATATAAGGAGGTAACATGTTATAGTGTGATGATTACAGGTATATAAGGTGGTAACATGTTATAGTGTGATGATTACAGTTATATAAGGAGGTAGCATGTTATAGTGTGGAGATTACAGGTATATAAGGAGGTAGCATGTTATAGTGTGATGATTACAGGTATATAAGGTGGTAACATGTTATAGTGTGATGATTACAGTTATATAAGGAGGTAGCATGTTATAGTGTGGTGATTACAGGTATATAAGGTGGAATATGTTATAGTGGTGGTGATTACAGGTATATAAAGAGGTAACATGTG